AGGGCAAGCTGTTCATTCACACTGTTGGCCGGTTTTTCAAAAAGGGAACTGAAAACTGTAACAACTGAAATATAAAGCCTGGGAAAACACTGGGGTGAGCTGACCAGACACTCTGGAGAGGGTTAATGAGAGGACAGTAAAATCTATATAAACAGAAGGAGAATTGGGGGTTTGGAGACAGCTGTGGACAATGAGGCTGAAAGGACATGATGAGACAGAAGGCAAGACAAAGGAAGAGAAACTAAAAGTAAGGTACAAGGAGCAACTAACTATTAAAACAAAGTAGGAAGTGAGATAGCTACATGGGGAAAACACAGACATGAACTTGAAATATGGGAGACTTGAGCCAAGAGGAACACTGAGAGAGAACTAAACTCTGAAGCAACCAGGGTCTAGGAACAAAACTAAATATGCTGATGAAAAATAAATGAAGTACATAATTAAGATGAAAGGAACCAGAATTCAAAAACTCAAACACTAGCTCAAACAACCCAGGACCATGACTAGTAGACAACATGGTACATCATAGACAGTATTCAATCAAAAGACACTTTATTAGGTACACCTTGATAGTTCTGGATTGCAGCCACGTTTGCTCTCACCTTCATTGTTTGAATTCAGCACGGATTGAGATTCATTGGCTGCACAGGGAATCTCCCATTCCACCACATTCCAAAGGTGCTTTCTTAGATTAAGATTTGGTAACTGTAGAGGCGGTATGAGTACAGTAAACTTACTTTCATATTCTAGAAACCAGTTTGAGATGATGTGAGCTTTGTGACATTGAATGTTATCCTCCTGGAGTCAGCCATCAGAAGCCTTCAATATCCAAATGCTGCAGCAGAAATCAAGGCTCTTCAGAGCAGGCAATGTTTTCCCAATTTTGTGTTGTCTAATTTTGGTGAGCCTGTGCAAATTGCAGCCTTCTGCTTCAAGAGATGCTCTTCTACATACCTTGGTTGTAATAAGTGACAATTATTTCACAGAGAACTGCAGCTCTCTGGATATTTTCTCTTTTTCAGACCATTCTCTGAGATAGTTGTGCAGGAAAATCCCATTAGATCACCAGTTTCTGAAATACTCAGACTAGCTCATGTGGTATTGAGAACCATGGCACAATCAAAGTGAATCGTCACCATAACGACCATGTCTACATGCCTAACTGCACTGTGTTGCTGCAATATGATTGGCTGATTAGTATTGTCCTAACAAGGAGTTGAACAGGTGTACCTAATGAAGTGGCCAGTGAATATATATTGCGCACTATAGTACAACATACTATAGTACAGTATAATCAATTCCACTGTAGTGTAGTTTAGCACAGTATAGACAACTAAGTTATGCCATGTAGTAATCTGTGAAATTCTGGAGTAGAGCAGGGCTTTATGTAGGTCTTTATTGAAAAGGTTGTGACTGAATGCTCTCTCCTTGTTGTTGTGCAGGCTGGAGGAGTTGTTTCTGTGCCATAATGAGTACAGCAGTGTGAGTCCCTGCAGGGTGGCCTGCTCCACCCTGCGCCTTCTTCACATCACCGACAACTGCCTCAAGGACTGGGCCGAGGTCCGCAAGTTTGGCTCCATGTTCCCCTGTCTGGACACTCTGGTTATGGCAAACAACAACTTGTCCTCCATCCAGGACAGCAAGGATATCCTGCAAAGGCTCTTCCCCAAACTACGCAGCATCAACCTGCACAACTCAGGTAAGTGCATTTCATTCCCAGCTTGTTCTGTGTGTTAGTTTTAGACATGGGACTATTTATACTTGGTGAGTGGTTAGCCATGATAGGGTCATTTCAGAAGGGAATGCTGAAATGTTCCTGTTCATAGCTTAGTGTGCAGCAGTCAGTTGGGTAACAACTGATAAAATTATCATGAGAAAACATAGCACTGAATCCTACAGGCTTTGTAGTTTATTAAAACAGATTTATCCATGTGTCAGCTTTTATCTCAGGAATTGTTTCTATTTGGAGATTATCAATCCTGAGTCTATTTTTAGAGTTCTTTTCAGAGGAAAAAAAAGAACAAAAACAGTATACAAAGACATGCTTATATTGACTGCAGTCCATCCATTAGTTATATCTCCTACGCCTGAGGCAAGGAACAAGCCATTATGGCTCATATTTATCCCTTAATTCTTAAAATGTAGCATTCAAAAAGTCCAGCTTCCATTATTTAGGGTGTTTTAGAAGTGGCTTGAAAGAAGAAATAACAAGGCAGCAAGGATTGTCAGGATTTTAAGCAGCAGATTTTTCATCAGCAAAACCAAAACTTCCTTTGTATCATAGTATAAAAAGGTTCATGAGGTTTTGTTGTTGTTTTTTTATGGAGAGAAAAAGGAGGGATCAACAATATGAATTCAGATGCAAGTTAGCTTATATGTTATATAAACATTTTTATACACACAATATTTTACATATTTTAATAATATCAATACTTGGCAGTAAATCAGAAATGAAAAACTGATAGAAGGCAATTAAATATTTCATGGTATGTTTTTACTCCTTAGTCACCTCAAA